GCATTTTTTGCACTTATAGGTTAGAATATCTCAAAATCCTGATGTGATAGAGCAATTCTATGGCCAGATTTGAATTCAACGCACTAAAAACCTTCGGGAAAGTATAGTTTGGTTTCTGGGTAAAAATTTTGTCCGCCTGTGTTATTATTATTTTTTTCATTCTGGAATATTTATGTATTATATATATATATCTACTTCGATCCCTTTAGGCTGTTACAAACAAGCGTTATACGAACAAGGTATAATACCCATGTGCTCAAGTGCGCTTGGGTATAAAAATTTTCAAATATGAAAAAGTTCGGGATTATCGTATCAGAGAACACCATATAACATCAAAAACTAGATTTAAAAAAGGGGCTCATGGAAGGAAAGGGAAAATGTGGGTCTGATATTACGAAAAATGTGTGCATTCAAAGCCAAAACGGTTGCAATACGTAATGAAGTAGAAGAAAGGCAAGCTAGATACCTACTAACAACCGAAATTTTCTTTTTGTCTTTTTCCCAACTAAAATTTTCTAATTTATAAAGGCTATTCCACTGGTTTATCTTATTTTATCATTGCACTTTTGTTTTGAAAATGTGGTTCATTTTATTGCTAAATGGGAATGATTAAAAAGAATGGCACCTCTTTTGGCACTTTTATTTTTCTATTTGGCACTTTTTCATCCTCAATATGGCTAAGGGTAGTTGGCAGCCCTGTCCAAGTGAGCAATTGTTCAGTGCAGCCGGCCTTATATGCGAGCCTCTAAGAAATCGCCTCATGGGATAAAACGCAGCAAAATTACGTTCTTTTTATATAATATGCCCCTTTTGAACTTTGGCTACTGGTTTAAAGCACTGTATAGGTTAAGCACTCGTTCAATATTCTAATAATTTACAAAGTTTTTAAGTAATAAAAACGATGACGTAAGTTGATTATAGCTTCTTTTAATGTTATTTCTAACATTCGCCTTCGCATTAGCGAATGTGAAAAATATGACATTCGAAACATCCCTAGAATTTTTTGTTGTTTCGGATTGAAAATGAGAATGTGTGTGTGAGTTTGTGTTTAAAATTTTAAAATTAAATTCCTTGCAAAAGCCAAGAATTTTAAAAGTACCTCTCAGCGGTTCTTCCTTATTAATTTATTATCATAGGTTTTATTACAAATCGCTCATCATACCATTTTTTTTTTTCAAATGGCATAGAAACGTGGATGAGAAGGCTTTGGGTTCTTGCGGGGGAATTGTTCTGCTCAACATTTATGGCCCTGTTCGCACAAGCGACGGATACCGAAGAAGATGGAATCAGGATTGATACGAGTTTTTAGCGACATGGACATAGTTAAGCGCATAAAAATACAAGGATTGCGCCGTCTTGGGCATGTCCTTCGACTTGGCGCCCATGGGTCGAAGAGGCACCAACGAACAAAATGGCAAGACCATGTACAAGAAGAGAGACCATTGGCGAAGGTGTTTTCAATACTTAAAAAATATCTCTTACAAATCCATTTTATTAGACATAGTCCCGTTTCTCATGTACATAGGTTTTAAAATTTATCTGCTCTTCAAACACATTATTTAGGGCCGTTTTCTCATCTAACCTTTAGTTTACCGGCCACTTTATCGTCTCGATATACGAGTTTTTGTTTTCTCATCAGCGCATTAATTTCTCGAATCGATAAACTGTTGCTCACCAGATGCAACCTTTAAAATTTGTACCCAACTTTAAATTTTGGTTTGGTTTTGGTTCATGAGTCAGATATATTAGATATTTCAACCAAGGTTTTGGCTTTTGCTAACAGTTGCTCTTGCTCTATATTTGCTTATGTCGCATTGCCAACCTTTGAAATTTTATGACGAATGTAGTGAAGTTTCACACTCGGAAACGTAGTGAAGTTTCACTCTACGGAATAACAAATTTATTTTTATCGGTAAGATAGGAAAATGAAAACACTTTAAAGTGAGGAACAATTTATCTGCCCTGTTAGTAAAGGCAACTTTACTGCTTACATTAGAAAACGGCCCTTAGAACAAAACTTCTGTTTAAAGGGCAGATAAATTTTAAAACCTAAATACATGAGAAAACCCCTCTTAGGGCCGTGTTCTCAACCAACCTTTAGTTTACCGGCCACTTTATCGTCTCGATATACGAGTTTTCGTTTTCTCATCAGCGCATTAATTTCTCGAATCGATAAACTGTTGCTCACCCGATGCGACCTTTAAAATTTGGTTTGGTTTTGGTTCATGAGTCAGATATATTAGATATTTCAACCAAGGTTTTGGTTTTTGCTAACAATTCCCCTTGCTTATATTTGCTTATGTTGCATTGCCAACCTTTGAAATTTTATGACGAATGTAGTGAAGTTTCACTCTCGGAAATGTAGTGAAGTTTCACTCTACGGAATAACAAATTTATTTTTACAGGTAAGATAAGATTAAAATTATAGTTTACAAAACTAAAACCTCGCTATTATAATTTCCATTCGTACTTTCATCAGGTATGAAACTTGAGAATAGAAATCGCTGCATCTTTTAGGCGCATCAATATTACATAGTTACATCCCGAGCTAATAAAAGGGAGGTAATAATAATAATAAAAAGAAACAGCGACGAACAATTTATCTGCCCTGTTAGTAAAGGCAACTTTACTGCTTACATTACGGCCCTTAGGGCCGTTTTCTAATGTAAGCAGTAAAGTTGCCTTTACTAACAGGGCAGATAAATTGTTCCTCACTTTAAAGTGTTTTCGTTTTCTTACCTTGCCGGTAAAAATTAATTTGTTATTCCGTATAGTGAAACTTCACTACATTTCCGGGAGTGAAACTTCACTACATTCGTCATAAAATTTTAAAGGTTGGCTATGCAACATAAGCAAATATAGAGCAAGAGGAACTGTTAGCAAAAACCAAAACCTTGGTTGAAATATCTAATATATCTGACTCATGAACCAAAACCAAACCAAAATTTAAAGTTGGGTACAAATTTTAAAGGTTGCATCGGGTGAGCAACAGTTTATCGATTCGAGAAATTAATGCGCTGATGAGAAAACGAAAAGTCGTATATCGAGACGATAAAGTGGCCGGTAAACTAAAGGTTAGATGAGAAAACGGCCCTTAATGCTATTTTTTTTATTGAGTACAATAAATGAAAAGAAAAAAGGAAAAATTAACAATTTTGCTTATGATTATGAATTGCGTACTCGGTACTGTCCGTATACCAGACGGAAAAAATGTTGGCCAAAATTATGAGTCCTGAAGTATAAATGCAAAAACCGGTACGGGTTTACAAAGAATTTTACAACGAAAATGATAATTTTACAAAAGTTATACCCGATCGCTCAACTCGGTATTATAAACATTCATAGCATAGAGATGAATTTCTACTTGGTATTTACCCAAATAAATACCCAAATCGACGGTAAATGTGAACAAATATTTTTAACGTTGTTTCCTGCCATTTCTTGCGCAGTTTTTGCAGATGAGCTCACTTCACATTGCTTGTAGTGTTACTGTTTATTGTAAAACATTATATTTTCTATATTATTTGATGAAAGAATGATAATGTCTGTAAAACCAATACATTTGGCTGCTAGTTTCCTTGACTCTAATAGTCAAGTCAAGGGCAAGATTTAAACCCATCGGAATATCTAATTGCGATGCAGTTAATTTATGATATGGGTACCAATTGGAATATGTGTAAATGTAATGGTGGACCTACCAAACTGTAAAGCTAGAGAGGAGAAAAACGTCTACAGGAGCAAGATGGCGGTTCGTATTTTGACTATTCCATGCACTTCAGCTGCCACTGAATGCTCACTGAGCACTCAAGGTTCCATCCAACCAAAAAACGAAACAGCTTAAGTGCAGATAATGCCGGAAAAGTATATTTTACAGCACATCAATCGAATTTCTTCAATAAAGAAATACGACAAAAGGATACTTCTCTAAAAATTGTACCGGCTGAAAATAGGGTAACCACCTTTTCAGATGCCCAGACCCCGAGATTGAAAAATATAATTATTAGTATTCACTTATGGTGGTTTTCATTAACATTTCTTAACAAAACTTTAACTCAAGCCTGGAAGTTCACAGCCTATGTGAAAACATTCGACGAAACATGACTTTCCTGGGCTAAAGGCACAAAAGTAGCTAGATAAACACATCTGAGAATTTTTTCCAAACTCCGAGAATTTTGTGGCAAACCCTGAGCCCTAAGATTCAAACGGAAACCCCTAAATCTCGGGTTGAAAAATCCAATCTGGCAACCCTAGCTTAGGGTGAAACCATCAATTCGGCATTCAACACCTCATTCTCCTTTAAATTATTTTCGGAATGAAACTGACGATGAAAAATTAAGCACCAGAGACTAAATTATGATTTCGTTCGTATAATATAATGTAATGTTGCAAAAATAAATATATCTATTTAATATAGTTTTTGTGTTAAATTGTTATTTTTCACCTTCCCTGTACTCACTTTTATTTAAAAAATTTATATTAAAATTCATAAACTTTTGCAGAACAATGTATTGATGCTCTAAATTTTCTATGACATAGTTTATACCCACCTTTTTGGTAAATACCAGTATTTTCCCATTTTTACCCAATTTTACCGGGTATTTAACATTTGGGTATTTACCCTTTTGCCATCTCTAGGTATGCACTATACGGCACGGCGCGTTACAATCTCGCACTAAAGGCTTGAATGTACCATGCTACCGTATTGATTTTTACCCAATGCCACCATAGTATAAACGTCTTATATCGTGCGGGATTTTGCCGAACAGTACCGTATATACATTACGAGTATTAAAATTTCTTAAGATGGACTTATAAATATACAACAACAAAAAATTAATTAAACGAAGAATTTCACTTAATGCAATGCCCCTCCAAATGTTTACAAATAAATTGTATCTACCAAAAAAAACGAGAAAATTTATGAGCATTGCGACGGGCCTTTTTGGATTCTAAAAGTTTATGCATTTTTGGTGTATGCCTTCTTACTTCTTAGAACTTACCTGCATGATTTGTCCTCCAGTCCGGAAAATCCGGGCATGCCTGAGATGCCATGCGATGTGGGATGATTTGACACGTATGGATACATTTTGCTGGTGGGTATGGCAAATGAAGAGGCAGCGGCGGCTGCGGCTGCTGCTGCGGCAACTGTGCTGGCGGCTGCTGCGGACGCGGCAGCGGCGGCGGCTGATGCGGAGTTGGGTGAGTGGTCGTTGATGCTGCGATGCAGCGAGGAAGATGTGGCCGACGGCGTGGGTGAGCAACTGCTGTCGCCTGTCTGCGAATTAGTTCCGGAAGGTGGTGTGAGCAAGAGTTGTTGTTGTTGTGACAATTGCTGTTGATGCTGGACGCTGTGGCTATGGCCTAGACCGTTTCCGCTTTGAGAACTGACTGCTGCAGCGGCGGCGGCAAGTTTGTTGATGTGCAACTGTTGTTGTTGCTGTTGCAATTGTAATGCCGCTGACAGTGAGTATTGGCTGTGATGCTGCTGCTGTTGCTGTTGCTGCTGGTAGTGGTGGTGGTGCAATTGCTGGTGTTGTTGCTGTGGCGTAAGCGCTCCAAATGTGGTGGATGATGGGGAGGACGAGGAGACTGGTGAGTTGGACGATTGATTCAAATGGCTGCTGTTGATGTTTACGCCGGATGACGAGGGCGACAGTGACGAGGAATGGACGGCAACAGAAGATATGTGATTGCCGTTATTGTGATTGCTGGTGCTAATGCCGTTATTGTTACTGAGGCCACTGCTAAGGCTGTTGACGGACGATGTGGAAGAGGCTGCGGCGGCGGCTAGGGCGGCGGCAACAGCTGCTGATGACGAATTTTGTGACGTTGAAGTTAAATGTGAACTGATAAATGGCTGAAACTGTGGATACTTCGGTAGCATACTATCGAAAACAAATTTTGACATTGCACATTCTTTTGTAGCCTCGAGCCTCTGGTCTCAAAATTTGTTTATGTTTATTGATCGTTCAATGCAGCGATCTCGTTTGCTATTGAATTTCGTGACTCGATATGAGTTCTTTTAAAAATTCTTGATGAGTTTGTTGACTAACGATTTATTTGCGATTAGCGCGGACAGGGTATGTGAGTTTAACGAATTCGAGAATTTCATAAATTAAATAATATTCAAGCCAAATAACGAAAAATAACCTTTAAATGTGTGTAAGAGAACAAATTTTTGCCGACTGTGGATTTCGGGCATTGCGAGATTCACAAATTGCAAATCGGTAAAAGTAAAGCTAGGGTGGATTTATAATTAGTGCCTTAGTTGACTAATATTAAATATAATTATTGTATTTTTTATTGCCATAATTTTTAATAATAATAAGTATTAAGCTGATTTTCGCAGTAAAATTTTTTTCAAATTGATACGAAGGACTTCTGAAAAAATATTTCTAGAGCTAGTATTCAAACTTAAAAATCCTTTAAGCGTAGGCAGGCGGGCATGATTTAACTAATGGTTATGTCACCAAATGTGAACTAAATTACAGACCAAAAATTGTTTTGCAACAGAATAACTATTGTATCCTTTTGAAAGAGGAAATCATGTTGACCATATCCACATATTTCTAAAGAAAGTCTTTATTCATACCAAAAGGTTGGAGCTTATAGAACTTGAGAGATAAAATGTATTCCTTTCAAAATTATAAATACTTGCTTGTACTTTGCTTTTTTAAAGTTTCAACAAAACTTTCGTTCACTCCTATTTTACAAGAAGGTGAAAAAACAGTTTTATAATGCAAACTAATGCAATTTTCTTTTTCCACTTTGCTAGAGCAGACTCCAAGGTGCCGCTTTCGCAGTAGATTTACATTGTTTTACGGCTGCAATGTATGAATTTGCACTTGATTTTATATGGACAATGGGTAAGTAAGAGGTAACAATTAGCAGTTAGCGTGTGAAACGGCTATTAAGCTTTGAGTCTCAGAAGTACATAATCGTCGAAAAGTTCAAGGTTTTCTTAATTTTTTGTTTACATAAGAGATCTGCGGAAGTTTTGTTGTTCATAAATACTGCTGAAATTTTACAACGCATATTTTACTAAGTATTTAAAAAACTATTTTTTATTAAAATTATTTCGGTATAATTTATAAGAATCATAAAAAATACAGCGAGAAGAATGTTGAGGATCTACATTGAAAGCGTTAAACAAATTTATCAATACACATTTTCCTTTTTAGACAGAAATACTTTAAGCTCGACCCAGAATTACAGCGGTAGACGGTAAAGCGGTCGACGGTAAGTGAACAGCTGAACAGTTGCCGCAGTGATATCTGTCAGAGTGAACACAAATGCGGCGAACGACGGCTTCCGTCAGTTGTCATTTTGATTTGAAAATTATCATTAAAATTAAGTATTTTATAGGTACGTGCGTGTATGTAGATTTAAAATAAAAATGGATGAAAACTTTGCCAAACTTGTGAAACTAATAAAAAATAATACAATCAATACTCAAACAACGTTGCGCCGTCCCGCTGGGCAGAAAAATATAAATAAATTTAAATCAACCGATAACCGTCGGCAGTAAAAACGCTGCCGCCGCAATAATGAGCCATTCCATGAGTTTTAATTTTGACAGCGGTTAACCGACGACGCTTATCGTCGCCCGCTGCAATTCTGGCTAGAGCTTTATAATTTATTTTATTTCAAAACAATTTTCAAAAAAAGAGCTCTATAGAAAATGATTAGGGACACGATATCGAACCGAAAGTATTGAAATAGTACTCATTTAAGGTATCGTCGTAAAAATATCGTACTTAATATCGGGATAAAAAGACTCGATATTCCAAATATCGATACCAAATACACAAAATTAAATCCGAATATTGGTCTCATTTTCTAATAACGAATGAACACTTTGAACTTTAATTAGTGTTTGCTTATGCAGGGGTAAGTGTGCTAAATGACATCATCGAAGGCGCGGGTTGAAATCCCGCCACATGCCAGCCTAAGTTGGTACATATTTGTGCTCTCTAAAGCCCAAATATATCCATATTGCTTTACAAATAAATTCCAAAGTATAGACATATGGTCGTTTCCAGCGGAAAGTCATAGTACGACATAGATTTGCAAAAAATGAAACCGCTAGGTAGGGCTGAAGTCAAAATAAAAAATATACATATTAGACATAAAAATTCATGTTTTATTTGCGCTAGAAAATAGTTTAAAAACGATATTAACAAAAAAACTTTCGATGGTAATTTAAGTAGCGTAACGTTATGTAACGTCACGTGAGATTCTTCGGCTGATATAAAAAATTAGAACAGATTTTTACATTTTGGAACTTGAAAAATTAACTTTCAATATTTAAAATATTACTACAAAATAAATTTCATTTTATATTATTAATCACATTAACTTTGTAATGTACACTTATGATTCGATACGATATCAGGATTCTGGTTCGATTGAAAACTTTCGAGTAAAAAGTATCGGTATCGAATGGCAAAAATATCGATGTGGTATCGTATCGTATCGAAATTCGTGTTCCTAGAAATGATTCAATATTTTAAATACATCAGGACTCTTTGCGACATCAGGACGCGACTTATTTGCGAATCTAAAAAGAGCAGTTGTTTATAGTGCTTTTTTGTGAAAATATACATATATATATATTTTTTCAAACTTTTTTTAAATTTCGGCCTTAAAAGTGCATAGTTCTTGGGACTGTAAAGTCAAACTGTTGGCGCTGACATTAAAGTGGTCACTTTTTCCAGTAAACAGAAAAACACATGCAATATTTGAAATATTTAGCCGTTCTAATTTTCATTTAAAGTAAGTTAAGTTATTTGATATGTATTGATAAACCACCCTCGGTTGCCGACGGCAACTTTTTCTTTCTTTACCTTTTCCGATAGCAAATGCTGCTGCACAAAACAAAGTTTACCCTTGAGTTTTGCTAAATATCTTTTAATGCTCGAATTTTGGCTTTCATTGAATATCCACGGGACCAAATGACTATTCAGTTATTTTTGTTTTCGATATCTCTCCGGCAATATGCATTCTGACCAAAAAATGTGTATAGATAGCAAACCACGTTCATAAGGACAGGAATGTAGTAGGGAATAAGCTAAAGGAGACGTGGCCACCGCTGTGTGTGAGCCATTGAAAATTATTGTGTTAGTGGAAAATGAATAGGAAGTTTCATGTCGAAACAGTACACTCAGGTACTCGTATCGTTTCGAGAAAAGTTGTTAGTGGAAAGTGTTCACAAAAATAGTAGAGGGATGGATTCAAAAATAAAGACTATTGCTACAGACAGTTGGTAGAAGAGAGACAGAAAAAGAAACAGCAACGACTAAAGGAGAAGTGATATTTCCCTGATCGGGATACAGCTACATACATATCTACATAGGTAGCTGCGGATAATAATATATTTTTACCTTTTTATGGAGGCTTATGTGTATGTATGCCTTTTGATCACGCAATTTTCTATTTAGTAAAGTATTTTAAACTTTAAATATTTATCATTCAATCATTCCTTTGATCAATTTATAATCCTTTTGTTTGCAACAAATTTATTATTATTTTTTGTATTTATTCTTCAAAGGTGTGTTGTTTTTGTTTATATTTCGATGCACAAGTTTCAGTGTTTTCGTATTTAATGGAATGACAATCTTGCCTATTGGCCGTGTCGATAGAACACTGGTTACAAAAACAGAACAAATGCAAAATATGTATATGAAAATCATAAAATGTTTAATCAGCGCAACTTAAACACAAAACACTATCGCTCATTTGTAGCGATCACTTTAGCTCTGTGCCGTCGGCGACTTTTCGAGCTTTAATAAACGCGACGGAGCGGACACTTCTGCACTTTTTGTTTACTACATACATACATATTATGACTATAACTATATTATTATTTTTAATATGTGTTATTGAATTGTTATTTTGTCGTTACTGCTGTTGTGTGTTTTTGGCGTCCTAGGAAAACGACCGACGTGCGTGGAAAAGTAGTATTCCAGATTTAGAGTGTGGATTGTGGAGCTCATAACTTAAGTCAATTCATTGGTCAACTCGGCGTATTAACCAGCCCATAGGTATGAACATATGCATGAACGCATCATTGTGCATTTATGTATCTGTATGCTGTTTTATAAGTTATGTGGCCATTTAAATACAATCTTTAAAAAACTATAAAATTTAAATCAGCGAAAAATGTGTTTACGACAATTGTCCGCATTTTGTCATAGTGCTTGCATCCTTACTTACATATATATGTACATATTTACATACAATCATATATGGATCTACGTATGTACATAAAAGTGTAATGCGTATTTACTTAGATACATATGTATGTATGTATGTACAGGCAAGCACGCATATGTACTACACATGAATTTACCCACAAATGTATATACTAGATTTTATAGGCAAATGTACATACATACATACATATGTATTTATGTACATGGTTTGGTCGTGCGTGAGGAATTTTTATTGCTTTTTTAATTGTTTCTGCTCTCGTTTGGGGTTTTTTCGCTGTTTGCGCAATATACATACGTATGTATAAAAATACATACATATGCATATGTACATGGGCATATATGTATATTAAATTAATTCCAAGCGTACTTTGCTCCGGCGCAAGAGGACTTAAAAAAAAAATAGTCAAAATCGGCTGAGAAAATTTTAGAAAACCATATTTTGACACACGTTTAGAGACGCGCATGTGGATTTTTGACTTATGGTTTTGCTGAGCGAATGTGTAGCTGCCTCTTTGCGCTTTCATTCGCAGGTGACTGCTGATTCTTCTATGGTTGTTGCAGTTGTAAACGCTGTCCCATTGCTGGTGGTGTTTTTTTTTTTCTTGTGTGGTTTTTGGTTTTATGGCATGTATGTAATTACAAATGCGTTACTTTTATGACCATTTAATTTTTATGTTTTTTTCAAGTGATCGATAGGTGGTTCTATATTTGGTGGCACGTCGCACCAGTGTTTTTATTTTACATAACATTTGTATGCTTAACTTTTACTTTAAACTGTCGTTAATGTGTTATGGCAGCGCAAACAGTAAATTTACGAGTAGTTCCGCACCGGGAAAGAAAAGCCTAAATGTCTGGCAGAGGCGTTTAATTTTGTTATCACCACGGTACTGCCTTTTGCATGGATTTTGCGCCCCCTGGTGGATAAATAACTCCGCAATAACACTGAGTAGACTCATTTCCGATTGTGTGGGCGATAGTATTTATTAAGACTAATCACTGTTTTTTAATTGGCATTTTAGGTTCACTTTCAAATAAATATTTTATTTTACTTTTTATTATTTATAATATATTATTTTAGTGTCGCCGCTGTGGAGCGCAACTTTAAGATTTTTAGCTTTTTGGCGCGCGTATAACCCGCTCTGCGCCGGTTTCGTGGCTGTGTTGGTCGATTAGTAAGTTTGCCAGTTTATACATAGCTACTCCAGAGAAGAATTTTCAACTTCTACTTACACACAATCAGCAGAACAAACAAAATGTGCAACACGCGACACTGAGGCAAAACGGCCACATAACAATGAAATAACATAAAAAATAACAATAATAATAATAGTAGTACGTAATAATATTGTACAAAAATAGTAGGTATGTATGTATGCATGTATCATCAGCGTAGCGCGTTCAACGTACGATATATGGTGTATGGCGAATGGCGTATGGCGTTTGACGATTGTCGCTCGTATTGAAGTAATAATCACAAACAGTTAAAAGACAATAAGACGCGAAATTTCGCTTTCACGGCACTCGCTCGTACACTTTGAAATCGACTTGGAATCGTTGGTTAGCTGATATTTTTGTATACGCTTGGCTACGCTTCTGTTCGTCGGGTATACACAGGCAGCGCAAACACAAAACACTAAACGCTCCGCAGACACTACTGCGCTCTACGATAATAAATATTATAATAAAACGAAATTTTTAAAAGAGTATAAAAATTCGTGTAATTGGTAATATCTGCGCCTTTGTACGCGCTATGACTGTGCACACGTTTGCGGCAGCAGCGACGTTGCAGCGACTGCGACGACGAAAACATCGGCAGCTATATAGGAAATAAGTGTGGCGACGCCACTGCGACACCGTGGTGCTCAAGTGTGGTGTCTCTACTACATTGGTGCTCCGCCTGACCAGCCTCATATTCACGCCACTGAGCAGCGGCGATACGGGCCCAGACAGAGAAGGCGGCCCATTTAAAGGAAACAAAACGAAGCGTAAATGAGTCGAGTCGAGAGATTATTTGTCAAGTTGCTCATTTAACTGATTGGAACTGGGTTTGATCGAATATTGGGAGGGAGTGGCAGATAAGAGGAGAGTCTGAACAGGAGGTCTAATTGGAATTATTTGCAGTTCGTCTGAGTGGAAAAAGAGTTGAGTTTTTGAGGATAAAACTGCTAGATTAAATGGTGCGAGAGCAGAATTTTACGAGTAAATCGGATTGCAGAGAGCAATGTACTTTATACATGAAGCTCACAACCTCACACCACTGATAAGCAGCACAGAGCCACTTTAAGTACCTACGCTTTTATAGTCTCAGTAAGATTTATTAGTACTGGTGTTTATGGCATATTAGGATTCATAAAAATGTATTCTTATTCTGCGAAGATAAGCAATTTTCTTAAAAAATTTAATAACTAACAAAAGCAATAGTACAAACTCATTCAGGTATCTATGTGCATACATATGTATGCTTGCATAAGTAGTCTCCCCTAACCTATATTCATCCATTTAATTGCTCGCATCGATACCATAAGTCTTCAGCCTTGCCTCCCTCTTCTGGGTTGCAGCACCCAGACCAGATGTCTCTTTCACAACACGCAAACCAAAACAAACAAACCACAATTTCACACTCAGCAGCCATAGCGTTGCTTCGTTGTCGTACGTTATACGCGACGCCTTGCTTTGCAGCGCTGCTCATCCCTGCGTAAGGCGCGATTCTCGCTGACTCATTCACTCTGCTATAATTCTTACGAATTCCAACTGCACTGCCCAAGCTCTTCTGTTTCGCTTTCGCACACCGACCTGTACCTTCGAATGGCTGCGGCTTCCGTCCAAGCACACATGATTTCTCGACGGCACATATGTATGTTATTGCGCTAGTGAAAATGATGACTGCCACGACAGTTTCTTGTTTTTGAGTGGAATCGCACTCAGGCTTAGCTTTTAGTGCTCTTGGCGAATCTTCGAGCAGTTGTACCGGTCATCAGAAAAGAGCGCTTGCTCTCTGAGACTAGCTTCAGATGAGTTTACAGAGCTTTCTTATTTCTCTCAATCAGGTAGACATTTAGTAGCTTTGTAGTACATAGTTTCTTTATTTATTTACTAAGTGTTCTATGGATACTTTATTTTCAGCTTAATAGCGTGAAAATGGGTACTGAAAGCAGAAAGAACTCTGTAAGTACGTTTTCGTTTGAGTGCTTCTTGCTGATGTAGACAGAAGAAGATGAGTGCGATTTAGTTGAGGCAGCACATTTGTGTCTGAGTGAGCAAAAAAAAAAACAGCTTAAACATCTGATTTGAATATGATATGAACTGATATGAAGTTTGGATAAATAGCATATAATTTTATTTTTGAGTAATTGCATTTGAATAATTGCAATAAAATGTAAATAACATAGCCATTGGCTGGTATCCCATACATATCTACATGCCAATCAAACTAGTCAAGTATTGAACACAATGCTCGCATGCAAAGTTGTTAAAAAAAAAAAACATTTTTAGATACTATGTAGGCATATCTGAGGTCCGAAATGTATTTTCGCTGACTAAGGTCTTTCAAAGGCTTCATCGTTAGGGCCAGTATGCGTCTCTCAAGAAAAGCAAAAACTCCATATAAAATGACGTACACGAAATGGCTAAGAAATTTTCTTGAGTGAAATTCGCTGCAGACAGTACGCAGTTCTTAAGAAATTTGCTACGCTTTCTACTACGGTTTTCTAAAGTTTTTTGTGAAAAAAGAGCACAATGCAACCCATCCTCGCAACAGAAATATATGCCCGTTTCATTATTTTTTGAGAAAAGAGCGAGGCAACAGGCTGGTGAAGTATCAGTTGTCAAAACTCCTGGACACACACGAAATAATGGAAATTTTTTTCTTTACCGTTTTCTTAAGAGCTGCATACCAGCCTTTAGGTAGGTAGGTGGATGTGGTTGTCGCTGCTACGCAGGAACGACTAAGAGCTTTCACTCCCCCTTGCTAAACCATTTTGAATCCTCGATGAAACTCGTCAAGCGCCTAGGGTTTAAATATCCGTATTTGTCAAGGTCACTAAAGAAAGTAGACCCCAGATAGCGCAATCCGCTTCTCGATAATGCCGGGCAGTTACAGAGAAGGTGGAGACCTTGCAACTTTTGCAGCATCTTCATATGGTAAGACACTCCGAGCATGGTTGCCGCGATTGGCAACTTTCTACCAAAATTGGTAACTTTTAGACCGTTTGGTAACTTGGTAACTTTTGTTTAACTTTGGTAACTTTTGCAACCAAACATCTGTTTGCATTACTAGAAAGAAATTAATTATGTTGTGCATGTGAGTAATTAAAAAAGCCTTCGAGTTTCAGTGGTGGAACTACTGACACTTTTACAAACCTATCGATTTACTTTGATAAAACTAGAGTTATCTCATATTTGAATACCGGAAATATTTTGAGTTACAATGGCAGCACTGCTGGCTACACTTCTAAAAAAAAATATCGAATTTTGGAGGTAAAGTTTGAATTCTACCATTTCACATTTTAATACTGGAAAAATTAGCCCGTCAATATACATACCCAGAGGGGAAAATCCCTAGTTCTGAACTGGTGCGTTTCTAGTACATTTAGACCCAGTACTGGTTCGCGATAAATCTCTTTTGCATGCAAGCAACTGGCGAATTTAACATGGCGATGTCCTAGGAAGTGTCAATTGCGGGGCACCGAAATTGCGCATATGGAAACTGTGCATTTAGACATTATTTCGGTTTCAACCGAAACTGTGCATGTATGCTTTATTTCGGTTTTTACCATATGCATTATTTCGGTTTTAAACCGAAACTGTGCATGTATGCATTACTTCGTTTTTTTTCATATGCATTATTTCGCTTTTAAAAAGTATGCATATGCATAATTTCGGTATTTTCTCATATGCATTATTTCGGTTTTCAACCGAAACTGTGCATGTATGCATTACTTCGGGTTTTTCATATGCATTA